TGGGGTGGGGGCAGTCACTTGACATGCGTGAAAAGCTGGAATGTTCGAGTTTACACTGTCTCGCTCGAGAGAGCCCAGGTGAGCAGACTGCCGCGCCGCCGCGTGGCCCCCCCCAACTAAGTTAGCACCCACAAGATTTCTACTTTCAGAAACCTACCAAGTTTTTTCGATCTCTCAATTTTCCTTATTTTATAATCTGAAAAACTAAACCTTGTAGCAATTACGTTGCAATCCAAACCCCTCCATTCAGAAGGTTATATTTTTTTCAGAAGCGGTCTCATGGAACCGGACACCAAAATTTTAAAAATTCAAATAGTTTTCTTCCTAAAAAGTATTTGAAATGTTACGAATGTTCAATACTTCAAAAAATCGTCCCGTTGTTCCGTTTTTTTTCGTTTTCGAACCAGCACCTGACTTTTCCAACGATCACTTTTTCAAAAAATAGTCCCGTTGTTCCGTTTTTGGGGGTTTGGGTCCGATTTTTGAGAAGGCGCGAGTTTTCGACATTCAAACGTTCATAACTTTCTTCATAATCAACTTTTTGCAGATGTCTAAGGCTAATTAGAAACTAGAAGATTAGAGCTTTCGAATAAGTGCTAAAACTTTTGAAATAATCACTCGCTCAAAAAATAGTCCCGTTGTTCCGTTTTTTCCACCTTGATTTTTTCAAGCCATTTTCTTGGACCGCGACTATGCGAAGAGTACTTTATAAAAAGTGTAAAATTTTCCTGAAATTCTTTCTTCTGCCTCAATTTTCCTAGGGGTCTCTAGAATTCAATTCAGCAAATTCGCTACACTTTGTTCCGCTTAGATTTGATTTGAAAGCATCGAAATTCTCTTCAGGAAGTTTGTCTGCTTACGGCCGCTGACAGAGAAGGCGTTTTTATGGGAAAACGCCTGCTCGGGTATACGCCGTGCACCTGTCTGTGGCAGAAGTCGCACTCGCATTTGAAAGTCCTCCATTTTCCTGAAGAAGGTGTTAGTATCGTGATTGAGTTGCATTGTACTGTTATATGGTACTCTTGTTTCACTTCCCCATGAACTGCTCTACACTTTGTTCTCCTTGGGATTTCAGGAATGTTCGATCATCGAAGACAGACCATGTTTTTGCACTACGCTGTAACAAAGTTTTTGGCTATTGTAATCTTGATCTATGCTGTCGAGCGAAAGCGCCGTCCGTGTATTAAGGATAATAATGGCTGATAGTGAGACTTATAATGCTCTGCATGCTCTAATGCTCCCATGGAGCTCTTGTCTGTGTGACTCTCCGACAGCACGTGCAGAGCTCCTGGAGAACATTAGAGCGTGAAAGTGCACTCCCGGACACTGCACTTTTCAAGCCGTCTTGCAGCCCGTCTGTGGATACGACCCCCTCCCCTTTCGGTTCGGCTGAATACGACCCCCTCGTTGTTCTTTGCGCAACGGGCGCTTGACCCTGGTTATAAGGAGGTATAACACATTCAATAGTGAGGGGTTAATGGAGTACATCATGCTGCTATTCCGTGGTTCCTCTCTACCCTGGGATGCGCGCGATAGCGGGCGGAAGCAAACCTGGTAATACAAAAAGCAAGAGTGAAGTAAAAAAGAAAGTTGACAGCAAAGTTTGTTTATTTTCTATCACAGCAATTAATCATCATTATCATCTGTTTCAGGCTGGTGGCGCGGGGGCTTCTCACTATCCGCTAACGATAAGAGAAATCCACAGGAAGAAAATTCATCGCATAGGCACCCATTCTTACCTGGCGAATAGTGGGAACGCCCAATTCGATCTATCTGAAACAGGACTCAAGAGCACCCATTCTTATCTGGCGAATGGTGGAAACGTCAAAATCTTTCTACTCAGGACAGGACATAAAGGCGCCCGTTCTCAATCGGGAATTAGTGGGAAAGCCGAATTCGTTCTTTACAGAACAGGAGGCAGAGGCACCCATTCTTATCTGGTGAGTGGTGGAGGCACCCATTTCAATCTAGTCAGAGGAGGACGCAGAGGCACCCATTCTTATCCGGTAAATGGTGGAAACGGCCAAATCATTCGCTTCAGAGCAGGACGCAAAGGCACCCATTCTCAACTGGCGAACAGTGGGAACGTCCAATACTTTCTATACAGAACAGGACGCAGGGGCACCCATTTGAATCTATATGGAGCAGGATATGGAGCAGGACGCAAAGGCACCCGCTCTTATCTGGTGGATAATGGAAACGGCCCAATCATTCGCTTCAGAGCAGGACGCAAAGGCACCCGCTCTTATCTGGTGAATGGTGGAAAGAGCCAAATCATCCTCTACAGAACAGGTCGCAGGGGCACCCATTTGAATCTATATGGAGCAGGATATGGAGCAGGACGCAAAGGCACCCGCTCTCAACTGGCGAACAGTGGGAACGTCCAATACTTTCTATACAGAACAGGACGCAGGGGCACCCATTTGAATCTATATGGAGCACGATATGGAGCAGGACGCAAAGGCACCCGCTCTTATCTGGTGGATAATGGAAACGGCCCAATCATTCGCTTCAGAGCAGGACGCAAAGGCACCCGCTCTTATCTGGTGAATGGTGGAAAGAGCCAAATCATCCTCTACAGAACAGGTCGCAGGGGCACCCATTTGAATCTATATGGAGCAGGATATGGAGCAGGACGCAAAGGCACCCGCTCTTATCTGGTGGATAATGGAAACGGCCCAATCATTCGCTTCAGAGCAGGACGCAAAGGCACCCGCTCTTATCTGGTGAATGGTGGAAAGAGCCAAA